AATAATTCGAAACTTGTAAACGCAGAAGTGTTCATAGCTGGATGCTTTAACCATGTGAAGCAAATTTTCTAGACTTGTGTTAAATGATTGATTATGGTTTAGAGTCTGCAACATAAGTTATAGCCCTCAATGAACAAGGGAGTTATAGCCTAGGAAAATGATGCAGCCAATCTTAAGTTATGTATGTCAGTGTATGTTTACATTCTTTGCGTCCCCCATGCAGATTGTTAGGAGAGAGGGGAAAAGGATTCAAAGAAATATGTATGTGAAGATGAGAGGTGTGAATAGGAAGTATTTTGTGTTAATTTATTAATTGTAGTGTTAATGAAGCTTGGTGGCAAAAACAGTAATTAGAAAAATGAACTTGAATGGTATGACATATCTCCCCCAAGGCAATTTCACTAGACAAACACTTAAAATGGTTGTGGCCTTATTGGCAATTGTCAAGGCTTATAGAACTGGTGTCACTTTCTTGAGTATTACAGTAATTGGCCACTAGAACTCTAGCCTGTCCTAGGTGGAAAAGCAAGAACTGTTAGTTTTGTTGACAATTTGTTGGACATTAGAAGAGGCAATACTTCATTGTGCGAATAGAATTGCCTTTTTCTACTCTTATGTGGTCTTTCTTTCCATTCATTACACGTGTACTCTACAATTTGTTGTCACTGAATATATGGATTTTCAGTCTCAGGTTTGTTCAAGAAAATGCAATGTAAACATTGAAATTATCACACAACCTAAATTAGTGAAATTAATTGAAATTCTAAAAAAAGCAGTATGAGATCCCAAGTCCAAGGAAAGATAATGAGTTCCTTAACTAAGTCAAAATCCCAGAGGATATGTAATTACACAACTTTTCTGACAACAAATACATGTTTTTGAATTCAAATGCATAGAAAAGCATTACCTCAATTCCACTTTGTAATCGATTTACTTGACTGATTATTGACAATAATCAGTCTTTACCATTACCTCAATTCCACCAAAAAATATCGATTTTCTTAAAGCATAGAGAAGCATAAAGAGAAAGAGAGAGAGAGAGGGAGAGAGAGAGGTACCACCTCCCATTTATAGGGGTGGTTCATGTGTTTGATAACAAACTTTCTGGATATTCCGATATTCTTTTACAATATGCCAGGGAATATGTCATAACATATCATTCAGTTTGGATTTGCCTCGATCCTCGAGTGACCGTACAAATGCATAGAGACAGTCTCTCTTAGTAAGACTAGCCTATGGTAGTAACACCTGCATGGCATCATGCCAGGTGACATCATTGTCTCTAGCCACCAAGCCACAAGACCCCAGATTCCCGCAGTGCCTTACTGAAGACTTCGGCATTGCCAAATCCTGCCTTTTGACTTGAGTATATGAAAATGGCATAGTAAGACAACCGCATAGGTGAGATTCATGCGATACAAAGTATGTAACCTATTTGATTAATTTAATTTTATATTTGGTTCATTGGAATGAGCTGGAATGAAATGATCATTCCATCATAATATCCATTCTCATATTTGGTTTACTAAAAAAATTATGAAAAATGCATTGCAAATGGAATTATTATTCATTATGGTAAGGGAATGATCATTCGGTAAGGAGTTTATGGAATAATTATTTCATTCCAATCCACCTTAATTCCAATGAACCAAGTACCACCTAAGGATTGATATCAAATTTGATTTGTCACCATGCTAACAATGAAAGCTAAAGGCATATGTTTTTGTAAATTCAAGTGATCTTTATATCATGTATTGATCGACTTCTTAGACTATCAGTAACTTGTAGAATTTGAAGAATCCATTCATGAACTTGGAGTTTTTCAAGTATTAGATTTCAGCTTCATGCAAAACTTTTCATTGCCTGTAAATTCGCTTATTTCCCATTTATTTTTTCCGTCATCTAATGAGATGAGAGTAAAACTGTGGGAAAGCGGTGGTTTCATGGCCACGATCAGTTAAAGCTAAAAGTTTCATTAATGAGCATTTCCACAGGGTAGGACCTCCTTAGGGAATATTAGAATTTCATGAGGCTGATCTTGAGCCGTCATCTAATGACGAATATGTTTGTTTAAGAGAATTTTTTTGGTGTAGAAAGTCTCAAATTCAGGATCCTCTGCTGGATGAATTTCATAAGAAATGTTCTCATAGGCACATATGTGTGAGGCTAGACCAACTACAATAGCAGTCATTCGTACCCAAAAATAAATAAATTGTATACTGTCATATTGTTTTAGGTTTTCCAAGTAAGAGTCTTCAAACTATGTACTAAAAGGTTTTATTTGAAGGGAAAAAAGATCCATATGTTTTAGTTCTTGCTTGATGTTTTTCCCAATTTTTGCAGGTATTGGCTATCAGTTGGTGCTCAGCCATCAGAGCCTGTTGAACGCCTTCTGTTTAGATCAGGGTTGCTACCCCCACCGCCAATGCTGGCTATGGGTCGCAAAGGCGGGCCAAGGGACACCCGCCCAATTGATCCTATGACTGGGCGCTATTTGACAGCAGATAAGCCAGCAAATGGTGAGAGACCAGAGGACTCTGAAGGTTATGGAGATGGCGATGATGAAGATAGTGGAACAACACCACGATGAAGATGGTGCAACCGCCCCTTGAAACCAGTCTATACAGTTACCTTCTATGATTTGATATTGTTTTAGATGGTGCAAACAACCCTTGACACCTTCTATATGTAACTCGGCTTTGAAGATCTGACTATTGTTTCAGATAGTTCTGATAGGATTATGGAGAGTGGTTCCAAGTTGCTTTGCTTATAAAATAATTTTGAATTGTGTGGGATGGAACTTCTTGTGTAGAGAGTAATTACAATGCATTACTCCATTTTGAGTGTGGAAAAGCTCTTTGCTTTGGTTTAAAAACTATTCTTCTAGGAATACAGAAATTAATCACAGCATCAGACAACTTTTATATGGGTGTGGGATCTACAAAAATGAGCTTCATATAAAGAGTTGTGTGTACAGTTTTGTTATTGGTTATTCATTAGTTTCTGTACTTTTTAAGCAAAATATAAATATATACAGGTAGTTGATCAACCAAGTTGAGTTTGGAAACAAGATCATGAAAGCGGCCAGGAGGATGAGCTTTAGTGAAGATATCAGCGGGTTGATCGACGGAAGCGATAGGGAGAAGACGAACAGTACCACAGGTAACATGCTGGCGAATGAAATGACAATCAATCTCAATATGTTTGGTGCGATCATGAAAAACATCATTGTGAGCAATCTGAATGGCACTCTGATTGTCACAATAGAGAGGGGTAGGATCAGAAGAAGAAACACCCATATAAGCAAGGAGCCATCGAAGCCAGAGAAGTTCCTGAGTAGTATCAGCAAGAGCTCGGTATTCAGCTTCGGTGCTAGAGCGGGCAGTGAGGGATTGTTTTTTGCTACACCAAGCAAGAAGAGAGTCCCCTAAAAAGAAACAGAATCCCGTGGTGGAGCGTCGATCCGTAGGATCCCCAGCCCAATCAGCATCGGAAAAGGCACGCAGGTCAAGAGAGGAGGAAGCAGAGAAGTGAAGACCATGGAACAGAGTGCCTTCGAGGTAGCGAAGGATGCGGAGTAGAGCAGTATAGTGGGGAGTGCGAGGAGCCGACATGTACTGACTGACAATGTGAACAGCATAGGCAATGTCAGGACGAGTTACTGTGAGATAGACAAGGCTGCCGACGAGTTGGCGATAAAGAGTAGCATCAGAGAGAAGAGTCCCATCGAGAGGAGTGAGACGATTCTGAGGATCAACTGGAGTAGAGGTAGTTTTGCAATCAGTCAGACCAGCACGAGCCAGAAGATCGGATGTATATTTGGCCTGGGACAAATAGGAACCAGTAGAATCATGAGAGACTTCAAGGCCTAAGAAGTAGTTAAGAGTACCAAGGTCCTTCGTCTCAAACTGGCGGTGGAGAAACTGTTTGAGGTGGAGAATACCAGCTTCATCATTACCAGTGATAATCATATCATCCACATACAGAAGAAGAAGAGTGGTACCATGAGAAGTAGTCCGGATAAAAAGAGCAGAGTCATAGGAGCTAGAGGTGAACCCGAAGTCATGAATGGTAGAACTGAACGTAGCAAACCAAGTACGAGGCGCCTGCTTGAGGCCATAGAGAGCACGCTGTAGTTTGCAAACCTGATGAGGTTGAAAAGTGGACCCAGGTGGAGGTTGCATGTAGACCTCCTCAAGAAGATGACCATTGAGGAAAGCATTTATGACATCCATCTGAAAGAGCCCCCAGTGGCGAGCAGCAGCAACGGCAGGTAAACTGCGGACAGAGGTGAGCCGAGCAACAGGAGAGAATGTCTCCTCATAATCAATACCATATTCCTGGTTGAAACCCTTGGCAACAAGACGAGCTTTGTAGCGTTCAATAGAGCCATCAGAATGTGTTTTGATTTTGTAAACCCATTTGCAGCCAATTGCAGTCTTGCCAGGAGGAAGATCAACAAGATCCCAAGTATGAGCTTTGTCCAAGGCCTGGAGTTCATCAGTCATAGCTTGCTGCCAAAGAGGATTAGTACAAGCCTCACGATAGGAGGTAGGTTCATAAGTAGAGAAGGCAGCAGATCCAACAATATAATCACGAAGATGGAGAGGAGGTTGAGTTACCCGGCGTGGTCGACCCGTAGGAGGATCGGTGGGAGGAAGAACCGGTGGAGAAGGAGGTGTGGCAATAAGAGGTAGACCTTCAGAGGGAGCAGGCTGGACAGCATCAGGAGTGAGCAAGGGCGTCTCGATGAATGAAGACCCTGTATCAAAATCAGCAGAGAAAAGATCGATGGAAGGATTAGTAAACAGTACAGAAGTGGAAAGTGTGGGTAGGTGAAATGAGGAGAGCGAGGAAAACATTTGGTGTTCCCAGAAAACGACATGGCGAGAGATACGAAGACGTTTAGAGATAGGATCCCAACAGCGAAAGCCTTTATGTTCAATTCCATATCCAAGAAAGCAACAAAGACGAGAACGAGGTTCAAGTTTGGTGTGTTCATGAGATTGAAGAAGAACAAAGCAGGCAGAGCCAAAAACCCGGAGATTGGTGTAAGGAGGAGGAGTGCCATGCAGATGTTCAAAGGGAGTTTGATTAAGGATGACAGGGGTAGGAGCACAGTTGATAGTGTAAACAGCAGTGAGGGCAGCTTCCCCCCAAAAGTTTTCAGGACAGGAAGAAGACAGAAGGAGAGCACGAGTAGTGTCAAGGATATGCCTATGTTTCCGTTCAGCGCGGCCATTTTGCTGGGACGTGCCAGCACAAGAACGATGAGGCAGTGTACCATGATGCTGAAGAAAAGAAAGGAAATCTGAATCCCGATATTCCATAGCATTGTCAGAGCGAAAAATTTTGATGACTTTAGAGAATTGGGTGTGAACCATTTGGGCAAAGCGATAATAAATGTGTTTAAGTTCAGACCGATGTTTCATGAGAAAAAGCCAAGTAAATCGGGAAAAATCATCAATAAAGACAACAAAATAACGAGATCCCCCCATAGTAGAAGTATGGGAGGGTCCCCAAATATCCGAATGTATAAGATCAAAAGGTGCAAGGGAAACAGAAGTACTTTTATTAAATGATAAAGCAGGTTGTTTAGCAAGTTAACAGGGTATACAATCGAAATGATCGGGAATTACATGACCCAACTGTCCATAGAAACCAAAGACTTTAAGCGATTAACAGAAATATGCCCTAAGCGACAATGCCAAAGATGAAAGGGAGATAATGAGGAAGTAGAGGTAGGAGCAGCGATCTGAGGAGAGGTAGGAACATGAAGGTGAATGAGTTCATAGAGACGTCCACGCTTACGGCCGATCCCAATAGTCTGCCCCGTCTGAGGGTCCTGTACCAAACAATCAGTAGCAGAAAATGTGACAGTTAGACCAAGTTCACATAATTGACCAATGGAAATAAGATTTAAAGTGAGAGCAGGGATATGATAAACTTGAGGTAGAGATAAAGAAGAGGTGGAAACAGTACCAACATGACGGACAGACATGAGGGAACCATCAGCAGTATGAATGGAGGGAAAAGGAGGAGATGAGGAGGAGGAAGAAAAGATAGTAGAACTGGAGGTCATATGATTACAACAGGCAGAGTCAAAATACCAAGAAGAGTTACCTGGGATTACAGACAAAGTAGTAGGAGGAGGTGTACCAGAAGAGGAGAGAAGTTGTTTGAGCGTGGCCTCTACATCTGTCGGAGAAAAGCGAGAGGTAGACGGAGCAGGTGACTCAGAGAACTCCGCAGAGGCAGAAGCATCAGTGTGATGAGACTGAGCAGCAGTGTGATGAGACTGATTCCCGGAACGATGAAAGTTTCCCCGGGAAGAGCCACCGCGAGAGGAGTGGCTATTGGAAGATGATCGGGAAGGATTGCGAAAACAATCCTGTTGTAGATGACCAGGACCAAGTTTGTTGCAGTAGCGGCAGGATCTGACGGGGCAATTGACCAGGAGATAGGTTGAAGACCCCGATTCTGACAATAGAGGCAAGCAGTGGGCCGCTGGGTAAATGATGGCCGGGACGGAGGAGTGGCAAGAACAGAGTCCACATGATGAGTTTGAAGTGTACCAAGACGAGTCTCCTCTGAGAGCAACTCAGAAATTGCTTGTTCAAGAGTGGGCAATGGATGACGATGAAGCAGAGAGGCACGTACGGGCTCAAAGGAGGAAGTAAGAGCCATAAGAAAATGCACCAACCTTTGCTGGTTGCGATAGATAGTAAATAAAACAGCATCTTCAGGGGTATGCCAAGTTGGTTCTGAAAGAGCAAGCTGATCCCAAACAGAGTACATTTGAGAAAGGAAGTCATTAATGGACTGAGTGGATTCTTGGCGCATGCGATGAAGTTGGTTCTGAAGTTGATATTGATGGGCAAGACCAGTAGTCTGGTATCGTTCTTTCAAAAAATTCCATATGTCCTTTGCAGGAGTATTTACAGAGTCAAGCTGAAAGCGACCAAACTGAAGACTGATAGAGGTAATAGATGTATTACGAAACCAGGTAATGATTTGGTAATTTTTACTGTCCCATTCCTCAAGTTGGTCTTCATATGTAGCAGTATGAGCAGTAGTTTCAGTAGTGACACTGTCTTTAACCGGTTTAGTCACATCCCCGGTGACAATTCGCCAGAGCTTCTTGCCTTTGAGGAAGGAAGACATGGCTTGGGCCCACAGAACATAGTTGGAACCATTCAAAATAACGGAAATGGGATGGGAGGCATCAGGACGATCCATAATACGAGTTGAGTAGGATTTAAAGCAAGAGGAATAGACCTGTAGGAGCAAAATTAGGTAAAACAGAGTGTACCAGTGAGTCCGGAAGGTCGAAAATAGCCAGGAAAGGTATGCTGGACAGAGATGATGTCAGCAATGATGTCAGCGGCGCACGTTAGCAGGCTGCAAGAAGGAGCACGTTAGCAGGAAGCGGCAGCGCACGATAGCGGACAGGCGCAGGCGCGGCGCACGGTAGCCGTTTTGGCGCACGCGGGTGCACTTTAGTGAAGCGGCGCACGAAAGGCGCACAGTAGCAGGCGCGGCGTACGGGAGTGGTAGGGCTGACGTCAGCCGCGGTTGTGTGGGCGCGTGGAGGCGCGTGGCGGAAGCAAGGTGCAACAGATGGCGCGTGCGGGCGCGTGTGAGAGTGGTGGCGGAGGTGATGACGCGCCGAAGACAAAGGTGGCGCGTGAGGGCGCGTGGAGGGTGTTCTGAGGACGGGCTTGGTGCCGTTGGAATCGTGAGGAAATTCCGAGCGGTTTGATGTATGCCACTGTGTACGGGACTAAACACCAAAATCGAAAATTGCCAGAAATGCAACACTGGGCTCTGATATCATGAAACAATAATTTGAGAGAGTGATAGAGAATAGAGAGAGAGAGAGAAATACTGAATTGTTCAGTTGTTGTATATCTGTGTAATTACAAGGAGATGTACACCTCTCTTTTATAGAGAGGAAAAGAGACATAGGGTGCCTTAGCACCGAAAGCATAATGGAAAGAGGGAACAATAATTATGAAAGCATAAACATAATGATAGACTACAATGATGACTAACACTACTAATATACAATATTAATATACAATAATATACTAACATAAATGATATTGGTTTTTTTTTGGGGGGGTGTAAATGAGATACAAGTGTAATTAGTTGGTTACTATACAGATTCTTGAGCTATAAAATATAGTTTGTTATTTGAAATATGTTGATACCCACTGATAAAGCAGTTCGGCTGGTAAGCAGTTTCACCGAAACCTGCACACAATGTATTTGATTGTCAAACTTTCTAATCTATTACTTTTTTATTCAGGTCAGGGCGAAGCTATGTACGTTTGGATTTGGTGGGCCCACTGAAGTTACTTGTGGTGGCAATGCTTTAAAATTCTATGCTTCAGTACGCCTAAACATTAGGAGAACAGGGCTTGTCAAGAAGGGAGAGGAGGTAAATTTTCATTCAGCTGTTGTTTTTTTGGGCGTAATTTACACTGACCTCCCCTGAAGTTTTTGACAATGACAGACAGACGCTTCTAGGTTTATGAAATGACAGGGACCTCCCATTCCAGAACTTTTTGCTTGACACTGTTAATGCCTATTGATGAATGACCATTATGCCCCACTTAAATGCAGATATTTTAACCTGAATTGTCAATCAATGTAAAAAGATTGAATTGCCCTTTTGCTTTACTAAGACATTTGAGAACACATTTGTGGTGGTGATTCGTCTTATACATGCATCTGGTGTACATAGAGGCGGAGTGGGTACATTGGCGGGAGGGAGTTGGGGAAGGGAGGGAAAAACTTAGAGAAAATGAGAGAAACAGAGGAAATCTTGTTGAAATGTGTGAGAGCCTGAAAGGTTAGTGTATTTGTGAGAGAAAATAGAGTTGGGTATTGGTTCATCACTATAACCGAATTATTTCTTCATTTGAGTCAGTTTGGAGCCAAAAGAAGATGAAATGGCTCTGATTCTCATATTGATTCATCACATTTGCTCAAAGTTTGTTGTATTTTGGATTGCAAGGCAAGAATTGGTGCATTATTTGCTAAATCATTGAGTTGGGTGTTATGGGTCTTGCTTTGTGTGTCGGTTTTGTTCTTTTTGATCGAACTATTTGTGGGTTTGTTTTCTTTCATCAAATGAGCTGTTTGTGGATTTTATGATCTTTGGTTTTTCTTCTTGATGATTGGGCTATATGTGTTGTGATTGAAGTATGTGTTTGTGTGAATTTGTTTTCTTTCAGTGTGTGGGTTTGTTTTCTTTTGTCAAACAATTTAAGTGTGTGTGGGGGGAATGTTTTCTTTCATCAAATGATGGCGGCATTTGGTTTTGTTTTCTCTTATTTTCATTGATACTGAATTAGGGAGTTTAGATATGGGTTTTAATATGTTGTACATATTCTCTGTTTGTAGTTCAATTTTTATTCTGATACTCGGGTAATTTTGGTTTTGATTACTTCCTACTATGCTTGAAGTAGACATTTGTTGTTTGTAATCCTACAAACACAATATATATTTCCAATTGACACTTGCACAAAATACAACAAATAACTAACCTTATAGCAAAGGTAGCACATATTTACTAGAGAGAAAGGAATTTATTAGCAATGTAATAAGGGCATCTCAATCTTTAACTAATGGGAATGCAGTGGTAATTTGTCTTTTAAACAATGAAATGGAGGGCAATCATGTCTGTACACATGAAATGAAGGCAACATAGGCACTAAAGGGAACTTTGTTGCTGACCTCAGTAAAAACCATCACCTTCTTTACTAGCGGCACCATAATGGTTGGAAGAATATGTAACAAATTGTCATCATAGGGAGGTCCTTGTCATTTCATAAACTTGGAGGGGCCTGTTGTCATTATCAAAAACCTCAAGGGATGTCAATGTAATTTACCTCTTTTTCTTGTAAGTATTGATCACTTAATTGTATTTGCATGTATTAACAGGAAAGATGGCTCCTAATAAAATTGTTTGTGATCATAATATTGTACAGTGGGGCCACCGCAAATGTTTTTGGCTGCGCTAGCCCCCTTTTGGTGGGGTTTGACAATTGTTTTTTAAGGAGCTCTTTTTTTTGGGGTATTTTCCTAAATAAGCCAAAATAATAAAGGAATTTTTAAACTAAGCCTAATATTGAAAGAATTTCTAAAATGAGCTAACTCGCGGTTCACAATCGTGAGTTCAACACTTTTCTACCCCTGTCACGCGAAAGCTGCCAAATTTAAAACTCGCTGTTACGAAAAGCGAGTTTGATTAAGAACTCGCGGTTACGAAACGCGAGTTTAATTAAATTTTTTTTTCCTTTGAACTCGCTTTTCACAAGCACGATTTCATCAAAAAATAGATTTCTTCTGAACTCGCTGTTCATAACCACGAGTTTATCAAATGAACTCGCTATTTGTAACCACGATTTTAGGGCAAATTTTTTTTCTTTAAGTGAAATCGTGGTTCACAACCACGATTTTAGAACATATATTTAACCCCTCCAGCCCCGTGTTTTACGTTCACGCTTTCTCCTCTCTCCCTCTGTTGTCTCTCTCTCGCTCTTTACTCCTCTCACTCTGTTCTCTCTCTCTCGAGCTACCTGCTCTCTCTCTCTCTGGAGCTCCCTGCTCTCTCTCTCTCTCTGGAGCTCCCTCTGATTGATTCAGTACTGTCTCTCTCTCTCGTTGGTTTGGCTTCTATCATCTATTTTACTGTGAATAAATTAGGATTAGATTTTATATTTGTGAGTATATTTGTGTTTGTGAAAATGTGAATAAATTAGGGTTAGGGTTCATGAATGTGGGGTTAGGGTTAGGATTTATATTTGTGAATAAATTAGGGTTAGGGTTCATGAATGTGGGGTTAGGGTTAGGGTTTATATTTGTGAATAAAATGTTGTGAAATCAGAAATAATAAATTAGGGTTACGGTTTATATTTGTGAAATTTTAAGTATAGATAATTTGTTGAATGTGAATGTTGAATGCGTTGAATTTTAATTATAGATAATTTGTTTAATTTGTTTAATTATAGATAATTTGTTGAATTTTAATTATAGATAATCTGTTCAATGTGAAATCTTAAATTTTAAATTAGGGTTAGGGTTAGGGTTAGGGTTTATATTTGTGAATAAATTAGGGTTAGGGTTCATGAATGTGGGGTTAGGGTTAGGGTTTATATTTGTGAATAAAATGTTGTGAAATCAGAAATAATAAATTAGGGTTACGGTTTATATTTGTGAAATAATAA